ACGCCGCGCTCGGTTAGTAAGAGGTTAGCATAGTATATAGTTACAAGGATATGTACCTGACGTATTTCTGCTTTCATATTATCTGTAAGATGAGAAGTTCCATCACAAACTCTCTTCACTAATACAGCCTTGCCCTAAGAGAGAAACACAGGGAAAAAAGGTCCCTTTATCTTAATCCCACTTGCAGTCAATAGCTAGCCCCACAAAATAAAACAATTTTAAGCAAATTCTTCATCACAGTATATATAATGGAGCAAATCCACGCTTAAAGGCGGCAACAACAAAACAACAAACACTCCTAGACGCCATCGCCGTCACTTTCACCCCATCAGCCGTCGTCATCGGCGTCAGTATCATCATCATCGTTGTCGTCACCATTATCATCATCATCGTCATCATCGTCGTCGTCGTCATCATCATCATCATCATTATCAATATCATCATTATCATCATCATAATCAATATCATCATCATTATCGTCGTCGTCGTCGTAGTCCTCGTCAGCAGCGGCAATAGAAATAACCACAGCGTTTTTTTCCAAATTCTTCTATAAACCTTCAAGTTTACAGAGTTTTCTGCATAAATCTCAGCAAAATACAACGGAAAAAAAACTTACGCGAAAAACGCCTTTAAGTCTCGACGAAAAAGAGGAAGGAAGAATACTAATCATGGAGCCTTGACGACTTATCTGAAAGAAAAAAATTACAGCTTCGCTTGAAAGAGCATAGTTACGACGCTTAACTTCGGTTTCAGCATCAGCACATGCTGTAATTAGCGACGAGGAGTTTTGCCTCTCCCCCCTTCCCTAGATGGAATGCCCATCCATTAAAGATCACCCTCTTTCCCCAAGCGTTTTGTCAGATCACATTAAAACAACAAAACACAGTTCCAATTTATACGCACTGTGAGAGAAACGGCAATTAGTTGAACCCAGACCTCCTAGTCGGAAAGCAGCGCATCGGCCATTTGTACTAGGCTACCTCGCTTCTCTATTTTGAGTTCTATTTTAACTCCGTGCAAAAGGCAAAATTCTCTCGGTAGAAAATGAAAACATACGCAGTTCCTAAGCATTGTACCCTTGTCAGACGAAGTGTGAATTGTAGGATGTCTTTAATTTGTGTTGATAAACCTTTCTTCAAGTGGAGCAAGCTCAAGTATACAGCTAAGGAATATTTTCTATATTAGTATAGATCTACTAGCGTTCTATCATTATTTATTCTGTTGTAGATAGTGAGTAGCGTGCTAGTGTGTGCTAGTTAACAAAGCTAGTGACGGTCGCTTCTTGGCGTTTTCAAAGTGTCTGTGAAGAGGATTTAGATAGAGTTTTGAACGACTAGTAGATTTATACTAAAACAATTAGATTATTCGCTCTCGATTTCTATGCGTGAACTATTACGCGCCATAGTTCACCGCAAAATTTTCTCCGATTCTTATTGGTTTAAATTGATCACGTGACGCGATAGTGTTCATCCACGGAGAGACACTATCAGTCCATGGTGCCCGTCCGAGGAAAATACCCGGATGGATAGTACTCGTCCATGAAAAATTTTTTGTAAACAAGCGAGCTTATAAAAAAAATTAACAATTGAAATTGTATCAAGTGGGTTTTTGTTTATTTTCCTTTTCAAATTTTACATTTGGCTTTCACAGCTTTGATCTAAAAAAGTTGAAAATAATTCATTGTGATTTTTGAGCTGGCGCGCGGAAGAAAATTTAGAGGTGAACAATGAAGACAACAGAGTGTTAAACACTGATAGTTGTCCCTTGGAAATTTGATGTTCTTAAAACTAGCATATATTTGTTTTAAGAAGATCAAATTTCCGCGGGGCAACTGTCAGCCGATAGTTCCTCGACAGAAAGACGCTATTGTTTAAATAGAAATCTCGAGCTCATAATCTAACTGTTTAGTAGATTTTCTCAGGAAACGATTCATAACTAAATACCAGAATAAAGTACTAAAATGTATTTAGTGCAGTTGGGAGAAATTTGCCTCTGATCTCAGGGCTCACCTGATGACAATTGCTGGGGATGGTGGAATTGTCGTCTGGGTCATCTGATGGCGCAATCTCTTTGTAATCAATAATCCACTTTTTGTGGAAAATTTCCTGCTCTTTCACGCGTCTTTTAGCGCAGATCAAGAGAACGAAGACGACTATAAGTAGTAGACACGCTCCGGATACGCCGAGAATGACACTGAGRTGGTCTGAGAAATAAAGAAATGATGAGAGGGTGTTTTAGTTTTTATTATCGATGATGCACCGCGTCACAACTCAACGACATTAGTCAGGAAGTTTCAGGAATACTATCAAAGACGCAAATGCTGTTTTTCCAAGTCTGTCGAGAGCTATTTTTTCGCTCGGCTTTGTGTTTCTTGAGCTCCAGCAGTTATTCAAAATAAAAGTGAGGTTTTGTTTGGATTGAGTTTTGATAGCTTTCTTTTGGTTGGTTTGTTTTTTTATTCTCTTTCGAAGGTAACATGTATTAGCAAAGCTATGTATGCCTGGGGCAGGCGTTGCATGCATTTCTTTGTGAAATTTGGCAGTTAAGGGTCCAATATTCTCACGAGTTTGCAACTGATTCTTATGAAGCTTTGTATAGTTAAAAGTTCGGCATGATAAATCGAGCGGTGAGGCTTGTTTTTTGTTTGAATGAAACAATTGGAAAAGCGTGACATCGTAGAAAGGGCCCATTTAATGATTCACTTGGCTTCGCACGTTATTCTGTGTTTGACATCACCTGCGAACCTTTAAAGATACTCTGACAGCTAAAAATAGTGGTGTTTTGTTATGAACACCCTAAGCGAGACCAGAATCCTTGATCTATACCCCTAATTGAGCCGACGAGCATTCCCGACCTTTTCATATGGGAGTTTACCCCCCC